AACACTCTTTCCCAGTGTAGTCTGAAGTTGACGGTCATTGCTGCCTCCCTTGAAAGAAAATTGCACAATAAATTCATGAGAGTTTTGTGGAGAAAAGGAAAGAAAAAACGTGTATGGCAAAATGGAAGTTTCCCTGTGCCACTAATTCACTTCAGGCATTGCTTCACTGAATTGCACTGAAGTAAATAATTTCAGTGGTTGGTTATATTATGTCAACAAAATACACAGCTGTAAAAACTGATGATAAAAAAGTTTGTATTTAATAGTATTTCCATTGTTCTCTTTGGAAGAGGATGGTAACATGGTTTCATGCTTGCACTAATTTTGGTGCTTTGAAATGTATTTGCACTCTAAAACTTAATGGGTCAGTACATGTCGTGATATTTTGTTGGTACAAGATACTTTCTATGTAAATGGTACAACTGCGAGTATGAACAGCTAATTATAAATGAAGATAATCAAGGCCATTATTTCCAATGTAATTTACTGCACTTCTCTCTGAAGACTTCATTGTCACAGTCTTGTCACTCTCTTGTGAGAGATTTCTTATAGATGGGTTGGCACATGGAGTTGCTAGGGTTTCGTTGTTTTCTACTCTCTTCTGCGGACCTTGGATTAAATTAAACTCATTATAATTAGAAATTTATTTGAGGTCTTGAGGCCGTAGCTGAACACTGGACAACTACTGGCACATGTCTTCTATTCAACAGTAATATTTTTTATAATGATACACGTGATATGAAGTGAATGGTGATCACATTTATAGAGGTCCATTTTGATCTCCCTTATTGTAAAAGGTAGAGGTTTAGAACCTGCTACATACATGCTAGTGACTTTATCTTTGGTGGCATTTAGAACAGGTTTGGGTACTGTGTTCCTAATTACTTCTTGCTTTCTGATATACAAGTAATATTATTTGTGACTTTAAAGTCACCTGAAAGTCTAATTTTGTGTCAAATAAAGTGTTTACCTGTCATGAGGGAGTCTTTCTGAACTTCATTGGTGGGTTGTGATCCTTGATCTACTATGTCTGGTTCCAGTGTTGTACAGACATCAGCTTCCACTTCCTGATCATTGTAGTTGTAGCAATTCTGATTATCAT